TGGGGACCTCTGGTGGTTGAATATAGACAAACTGTAGGTCAGTCATAAGGAAAAGGAGAATTTCTGAAGTGCTAAGCAGCAAAATTTCCATTTATTTATATAGGAGAGTATAAATTAACCTGATATTTGGACATGCACATGTTGAATTTATTCCTATATAGTCTCTAACGTTGTGTCATTCAAAAAATTCTTATCTAATCAAAATAAAGTTTATCAATCCAAAACAAGTTTTAATGCGAGAAAGAAGAATGAAATTATTTTCTGCTACTCTTATAAGAACTTATTTCCAGGATCATTTCTTATATAAAAAGTAATATAAATTTAACAGCTTCATAAAGGGGCTAGAGATGACAATTTGTGGAGTTACCTGTGATAGCCATAGACCCAACTTTGTTTTATCTTTTTTATTTTATTTCATTTTATTTTATATTTTTTTTACCCAGTGTTTCCCAGAAGACTTATGCTTGGAATGTTGGAGGTTTAGCTTTAAAAGAGCACAGTTCCTGAGTTTCCAATTAGCTGAGTTGACTAAAACATTCATTGAAAGAGAAATCAAAGATTCGAATGATTCCACATTCTCACAGAGCCATTGTTGTTTGTTCAGAGGCAATAAGCCAAGCCATGTAACCCTGAACGTGTCAACAATAAATGTCTTTGTATCTGAGGCAGTGTGTGGCTGGCACCATGCATCACTATGTTTTGAAGCAACTTCAGAGTGCTCTTTTCCTGGCTTCTTTGTAAAAGAGGCTCATCCATTATTTACTGCCTTGACATTTCAAGTTCTCTGTATCAACATACCAGTTAAAAAGTAGGTTGGGAAATGGCTTAGAACTCAGTTCAAAGATCTGCTGCTGTAGTCAAACTTCTGCTATTTAAGACAGTAACTTAAACTTGTCCTGTCTCACTTTCCTTTAAAGTAGAAAGTAGATGTTACTACTTATGTCAAAGGGTGATTGTGAGAATTTGTTGAGATGATATATACAGCCTGAATGGCACAGTGCCTGACAGAAGATAGGGACTCAGTAACTCCTCACCGAACGTATGTTTTCAGCCATGAATACTCTGTGTCAACAGTGTGTCAGAGAAGCCCCACACAGAAGCAAATGGCATTAAGTGTGAAGTCTAGATGAATTCCTTTTATATAGCTGCGCTCTTTTTTGCTTGTTTGTTTTTGAGACAGTGTCTTGCTATGTTGCCCTCAGTAGAGTGCTGTAGCATCATAGCTCACAGCAACCTCAAACTCTTGGGCTCTAGCAATCCTCTTGCATCAGCCTCCCAAGTAGCTGGCAGGTGCCCACTGCAATACCCAGCTATTTTTTAGAGATGAGGGTCTCGCTCTTGCTCAACTTGGTCTCAAACTCTTAAGCTTAAGCCATCTACCTGCCTCAGCCTTCCAGAGTGCTGGGATTACAGGCATGAGCCACTACGGTGGGCTACAGCTGCCCTTTTGAGAGCCAGTCTGGTTCTAATCAAACCAGAAGACAACAAACACAGAAAAATCCTAGTGCAATGTTTCTTTGATTTTATGTGCATACGAATCACCTGGGGTTCTTTTTAAAATTCAGGTTATTATTCAGTGAGTGGCATCTGAGAGTCTGCATGTCCCACAAACTGTCCATAAGATGCATATGCTGCTTACCCCCTAAATACACTTTAGCAGGGTCCTAAAGCTTGTGAATGTTTGACAATTTAAGAATACTGTACTTAGACATATATTTGTCTAGGTGTTGTTACAAATTGAAAAAAGGGGTTGCTACCCACAGGTTGAGAACCAGTGGTCTAGACAAACATTCTGTTTCCTAGCACAATAGCTTAAAATTAATTAATTAATTTAAAAAAAAATCATTCAGTGCTTACTATATCAGGCAGTTCTAGGTTCTAAGTATAGAGTAATGAACAAAACAGACTACACCCTCATCAGTCCAATGGTAAGGTCAGACAATAGACATGTAAATAATTGATTAGAATATGTTCTAACTGTGATTAAAACTGGAACAAAAATAAACTGCAGTTCGAGGGGAGTGTATATGCTTAATGAAGGCTCCCCTAGGAGGGAGAAAATTGAACTGAACCTGACTGGTAAAAACAGTCTGTTGGATGAAGATCTGACAATTTCATAGTAAGTGAAGAGAAAGCACAAAATCCCTGAGGCAACAGGGGACTTGGTTTCTAGGTGAAAAAGGAGAAAGGCCGTTGTGGCCAGAATATAAAGCTTCAGTGTGAATGTGAACCAGCGGACAGAGGTAATGAGAGATAAGATCACAGCTGCCAGAGCGGAGGAGAATGCAGAAATCACTCTGGCACTTTCTGCCATCTGTTCATACCACCATAATGGTACACACAAATGTCTTGGCCAAGGTTCTTAAGAGCATCAACAATGCCAAAAAGAAAGGCAAATGCAATGTCCTTATAAGGACGTGATCTTAAAGTAATCATCTGATTTCTAACTGTGATGATGAAACATTCTTACATTGGCGCATTTGAAATCATCAGTAACCACAGAGCTGGAAAAATTGTTGTGAACCTCACAGGCAGGTTAAACGAGTATAGAGTGCCCAGCCCCAGATTGGAAGTGCAACTCAAAGATCTAGAGAAATGGCCGAATAATGTGCTCCCATCCCGCCAGTTTGGTTTCATGGTACTGACAACTTCAGCTGGTAACATGGACCATGAAGAAGCAAGAAGAAAACACACAGGAAGGGAAAACCTGGGGTTGTTTTCCCAGGGATGTAATACATATACTTAAAAATAAAATCCCTCAATGGACCAAAAAAAAAAAAAAAATCACTCTGAAACCATCAGGGATATCACAGAAGTTGGATCAGAGGAGGGTCTTACAGCTCTACATAGGATGGAGGTGTGTGCTCTCTGCATTAAAGGAAATATGCCTGTAGGAAAATACACCTGGCTAAGCAGAAGGGGATGAGTGAAAAAGAGCTAAAGTAAGGTATGGGACACAAGTGGAAAAATGAGAGTAACTCAAAAGACAAGTTGAAATTCTACATCGCTTTGATTTGCACTGCAACAAACAGAAATATATCACTTACACCAGGCAAGATAATCTAGTGGCAAACTCTTGATTGCCACCAAATAAATTAAATTTTTCCGAGTAAGAAATGACTGTGTAACTGTTGAAGAAAACATAAACCCGTAACTCCTGTCAACTTTAACTATGGGCCATGGCACCAAGACTTCTTTGCTTTTCACGGAGCATTGGAAACAAAAGTGAGGCGCTGTAGATGGTACAATAAAAGATAGCAGTGAAGGAAATCAGATATACATATGCAAGGCCCCCTTGCACTAAGAAAAAAGCTAGTAGAAAAAGGTCATCATTATTAATGTCAATTGCAAAATATTAAATGACTATTCGATAGTGATTTTTGTACTCTACGTCTCCTTTCTAGCATATTGTTTTATTAAGATGTATGCCAAACCCCAAAGCCAATAAAGAAGAATTTAAAAGAGATTTTGCAGATCATAGTAAATAAAAAAGATGAATGATACTATGTTGGTTCAATTTTAATGAGCCTCTCTTACTTACTAGGGAGGAAGTCTAATGATTTAAGGCTTTGCAAACTAGTGGCTATTAACATGTAAGTGCATTCTAATTGACTTCTGTTTTTGTCTAATGATTCAATATCCTGCAAACTAGTATCCATTAACATGTTAGAGCATTTGCAATTGACTTCTGATCTTCTGTCTTGTTTTTCAAATATATGAGTAAAGAAGTGTGCATGAAAAGGATGCTCCTAACCTTCCATCAGTGAGAAGCAGCTTGGAATTTTTTGGTCAAAAGCTGTAAGGAATGGCATAGTTAGAATGCCCTTTCTCACACAGTTAGAATGCCTTCCTTTCTCACTAGAATGCCTAACACAAGACACACATTTTTAATATATTCACCCATAGTTGTGGTTACATTCTTTGGCATAATAACAGGTAAGTTTTTGCTTGTTGTGTGTTGTTTCCTTCTGTTCCATTGACTTCATTCGTGTCTCATATTAACCAACTATGCCACAGAGTTCAGACTTCTCATACTTTCTTTTCATTTATTTATAATTCTGTTGGTTATCTTAGGCATTTGTTAATAGCAACGGTGTAACGGTGTTTTCTTTGTCATTGGCCTTTTGTATATCGCATGTCATTCATTCAACAAATACTAAGTGAGTGTCAATTTGTTGCCAGTCTCTACAGTTTCAAGGGCAGAGTGAAGGAGTGGAGTGAGATAAGGCTGGGAAGGAAGGAAATGAGAACCAGGTCATTCGAGGTCCTGTCAACTTTTAGGAAATCTGACCTTCATCTCCCGAACTATAGGGAACTAATGAGCCAGTTAAGCACGGAAGTGACACCATCTTACTTCTCCATGCGTTTGCCTGGTCTCATTTTCCTCCCTCTCCATTGTGACTGCCCTATGCAGGGCTTTGTCATGCTTTCCTATCATTTACATTTCCTGGCTATTTTCAACTAAAAAACTAATTTTTTTATGAAAGAAAAAAGTCACCAATTATATAAACATAATAACTTCTCTGAAAGTCACAAGAGAGTTTATAAATAAGACCACCTATGAGTTGGTTCATGAAAACATGAATGCTGCTATGGATAGAGTCATTGTTTATTTGTATGCAAATTATAGCTTAGTTCTAATAAAGGATTAAAGAGGGGGACATACTTCATTGATACTCCTTATTACAAATTAATATAATAAAAATTAATTAATTGGCAGTTATCCGTTACATAAAAATACTTAGAGCAGTATGCTTGATCTACACACCTGTGCTCCTGATAATGAAATCTCACTGGGGCAAGGAGTACACATGTGCATGCTTGTTCTTTTAACATCTGGCTGTATACAGTGGGCAATCTCTGTTTTGGCTTTGTCTTCAAGTAAGAACAAAAGGACAAGAATCTAATTGATCTGGGTGCCCATCTGGTTTCAACTGCTCATTTTACATTGATGTAACAATGATGATGGTCATTGGTGTTGGTGATCATGTCTTTCCCAGGAGAAGAAGTTGACAGACAGCTGTGCAGAGATGCCATCTTCCCCATCCCAGTGGCCTGTGATGCCCCCTGCCCAAAGGACTGTGTGCTTAGCGCGTGGTCTACATGGTCCTCCTGCTCACACACCTGCTCGGGGAAAACCACAGAAGGAAAACAGATACGAGCACGGTCCATTCTGGCCTATGCAGGTGAAGAAGGTGAGTCTCCACTCTCAGAAGGAATCTAGGCTCCTTTTGGAATTTGACATGTATTTTTTTGGTGTGTAGCCTGGATAAAATGATACTCTATGGAAATGAATTACCAGAAATTTATCAATCCAAGGAGATTTAATATCTCTTGATGTATTAGGCAACATGATTCTGTTCCCCAAAATTAATCTTGAAATGGGTCTTTAGTAAAAGAAGATTTATTTTTTATTTTTGTAATTTCAGAATATTAGGGAGCACACATATTTTGTTTACATACTTTGTTTTCTTTACAGATTGAGTCAGATTTGTAAGTGTGCCCTTCACCCAAATAATCTGTACAATACCCAAGAGATATGAAGGAAGACTTTTAAAAGTGAACTTATTTTGCTTCTTCCAACACTCCTAGTAATTCAAGTTCTTTCTAAGCCGAAGTGTCAAGCCTTTGAAAAAGTCTGAAAATGGCTCCCCAAATTCCAGGGGTTTTCTTGTTGTTGTTCTATTTCAGTAGTCAGCTTTGCCCTTGGAAATCACATTCTACAATCATGTAAAATGGCATAGATGTACAATAATAAAGTTTATTTAAAAGGAACACAAGCATAGCTTGTGAACATAGGCTCTAAAATCCAGAACTCTCATACACAGATTGCATGAGACTTCTAAAAATATGTTGCTCCTAAATCATGTCACCCTCTTGGATGAATAAAGGATGTTTTTCACACATTCATACCTCACTTGCAAGCTTTATTGTCAAGAAATACAAGGCTCTTGGTAATTGTCTCTCAAGCTGATATCCAAATGCTAATTTGGCCTCTGTGTGACTGGGTGATATAATGTCATACTTAATCTTGTCATTCTGGAAAATAACACAGGAATAAGAAAAGCATAGAAGTAAATCAAGTTCTTTCACATTAAGGCGTGTTTTTTTACCTCAAGAAGATGAGTGTATATTATTTAAATATTATCAAGCTAAATGACCTGTCTTCTTCTCAGTCACACTTAGCACAGATGATGGCTTCTATTGTAGGAAGCATGCATTTCCATGTATCACCCCAAATGAGCAATTTGGGCAGAGTTTTGTGATGTCTATACCCTTTTTGTTTTTGTTTATGAAGTATTTTAATGATAGAAACCTGATGGTGTTCTTGTTCTGTCAAAGTTGCTATCCATGTGTGTAATAAGTATGTTAACATATAACTACCATGGCCTTAACACATGAGCATCACATGAATCAGAAATTTTACTTATAGAAAGTGTCTGTTTAAGCAGTGTGGCTCATATCTGTAGTCCCAGCTACTGGAGAGGCTGAGGCAGAAGGATCACTTGAGGCCAGAATTTCAAGGTTGCAATAAGCTATGATGGTGCCATTGCACTCCAGCTTGGGTGACAGTAAGACCCTGCTCAAAAATCAACCTATGGGGAAATTTAGAATTTCCCATCATTTTTTCCTATCACCTTAACACAAACATAACTGTTTTCTACAAAAAAAAAAAACTATCTGTTGAACAATAGAACCTTTTAGAGAGAAAATTGTATTTCTTATGTTGTTGAGCAATAACCTTGTCTAGATTATATTCAGACTTCAAATTCTATCAGCTCATGTTATGTCTTGGGCTTCATTAAAATTAGATCTCTGGTCACCCTGCTCTCTGTAAATGCATTATACTCTGTAGAGCCTTGCTATGTGACTAGTAATGAGTGACTTTTCACCCCCCAAATCACATGGCAAGGATTTCGCCATGCTTGCAGAACTCGCCAGGCCATTATTTCTGTAGACATGTTTCTCACTGAAAGGTCATGAAGTGTTTTAAAGGAGAAATTTATGATTGCTCTTTGATATGTATCATCCACTTAGTTTGAAAAGGTAGTGCTTCAATAATTTTTAATTAAGTCTAGTAGCTGCATTGTAAGCAAGTCATGCTGGAAAGTTATAGATGTTTATGTAGTAAATCATAAGGGTAGGAATTCAAACCATGATTTTTTGAAGTTTTATTTTGTTCTTAATTGACACATCATAATTACACATATTTATGGGGTGTAGTTTAATGTTTTTATACATGTATATATTATGTAGTAATCAAATCAGGGTAATTAGGATATCTGTCACCTCAAACATTTATCATTTCTTTATAGTGAGAGCAATCAGAATCTTCTTTTTTAACTGTTTTGAAACATACATTATTACAAACAGTAATTTTAAATGGAAACCATAAAGGAGACTTTCTCAATGGGGTATTGGCTATTATATGTCTCTGCTGATAACTTTTATAAAATATGATATAATTATGTGAAACACATAATGAGGAATTTATCCTTCAAAGTCTATTTACTGAGTACTTATTATTCAGTGGACACTGAAACACATTTTCTCTTAAATTAAGACTTTTATAATTCTGAGCTATTTTTAGAATGAGTTAGCAGCTATATCTGCAGGAAGCTTTAAATACATTTTCCTGCCAATTATACTTGGATAATTCTTCATAATTCTACTCAAAAGTAGGTCTTCCTGATATTCCTCAAGAATTAGTGCTTTGTACGTATCATAAATCCTCTTAATTTTCAATGGATCAGAAAACTGCTGTGATAACTTTAAAGGAAAATACTACCTTAGGAAAATGATATATAGAGTGTTTAGACACCAAATTATGTGATTTTCTCAGAAATAAAGGACAAGTTTGCATTCAGAGTGAATCTAGATTTATGAAATGAACGCTGCAACCTACACTATTATTTATCTCAGTTGGAACTTCACCATTAAACATTACACTCAAGATTAGATAACCTTTTCTAGTTAACAAGAATAACTAGGATGTGCCACAGTAACAGGAGCTTAAAAGAAAAGAGGTTTTATTTATTTCTTTCTCGTGGGAATTTAGCTACAGTTTTAGGTAACTCTCCAGAGCAATTTGTCCTCCATGAAATATCCCAGCCTTGCACCACCTTATGAAGACCTGTGTCCACAATATTTTTGCCAGAGATACTTAGACAGTTTATCTGTTCACTTGAAAGCATCAGCAATTAAATTCTACCCTCTGGAAGTGATTTGTGTCATTTCTCACATTTCAATCTCAAAACAAGTCATACACATATAACTACACCTAACCTCAAAGAGGATGGGGTAATATAATCCTATCGTCTGCTGGAAAGAGAAGAGTACTAGCCAGTAGTCTTACCCCTGATTTACTTGGTGTTCTTATTATATATCTGTATGTACATATATGTCTGTATCTATATTTATATCCATAGGCATATGATAAGGCAACAGTCTCCAGCCTTTTTGGCACCAGAATGGGGGGAGAGGGGATCAAGATAATTTGATTACATTATATTTATTATGCATTTTATTTCTATTATTATTATGTTATAATATATTATAAAATAATTATGCAAGTCACCATAATGCAGAATCAGTTGGGGCCCTGAGCTTATTTTCATGCAACTAGACAGTCCATCTGGGGGAAATGGGAGACACTGACACCCGCAGGGTGTTGCGTGTATCCTCAGCCCCACCTCAGATCATCAGGGATTTGATTCTTTTAAGGAGCATGCAGCCTAGAGCCCTTGTATATGCAGCTTAGAGCAGGGTTCCTGCTCTTTTGGGAATCTAATGCCCCACTAATCTGACAGGCGTTCAAGGTCAGGTGCTGTCACAAGCCATGGGGAGATAAAGCTCCCTCATTGGCCACTCACCTTCTGCAGTGTGACCTGGTTCCTAACAGGCCAGGGACCCACACCAGTCCACAGGCCCAGGGTTGGGGATCACAGTGATAAAGGGACTACTGACTATGCCCACAATTCAGTTGATAAAACACCCCCCTTTGTGAAGATATGATGACTTTATTATTTCTCTGTTCCTCTTAAATGGGTGATAGAATAAAAAAAGGTACTTTCTCTTCTTCCTACTCTGTTTCTTTCCCTTCTTTTCCCTTCCTTTTTGGGCTCTTACTCTCCCTTCCCAAACAATGCTATCCAAAAAGCCATTATTTGGATCTAAGCAATCGCTCATCTGTGCAAGAAGGTGAGGGGCCTGTGGTGGTCCAGATTGGTGGACAGTCAGAGCCCAGCCTGGGAGAGAAGAGCATCCAAAGTAGGACGAGAGATGGCCTGACCTGGAGTTGCAGAGTTACTGAGCAGAGTAAAGAGCAGGGGCACATGGGTTGTGTGAGAGATTAGAAGCAGTGACCCCATAGGCTGTCAGAGCACAAGCAGAGTGGAGACGGGATCTTGACATTAAGGCAGCAGCCCAAAGTGGGGTGTCAAAGCTAGGGAGGGTTTCTGTAATGTGGGTGCCTGATGCAGGTGTCAGGTTATGGGCAGATGGTGGTGCACTGATGTAAATGGCAGAGGGAAATCATTTGGGAAAAGTTGACCTAATAAATATGTATATTAAAATAATAGGAACCAGGTTTTCTATTGCTGGAGAAGGGAGTTACAAGTATGTTAAGAAAGAAAATTGGATTAAACCCTGTGGTCTAATACTGGAATTGGAAGTCATCCATATGAATTCATGGTGTTTAATTTGTAAAGATGTAGATAAATATAAATGTGTGTGAATATATAAAGATACATATACTATATGAAAAGACCTATAGCAGCAAGACCCCAACTGCAGTAAGTACATCACTTGGATCTCGGTTCCTGATACCATTCTCTAGAAAAAGAACCAGGGCTACTTGGAGAAGTGGCTGTCATTTCAGAGACAAGATAGGAAAAGTACAAGGTGTGCCTATAGGATCTTGTGACAGAAAGTAAAGAGCAGGACATGTCAAAACGCCACAGGCACCAGCTTGAAGATTCTCCCACTGGCCACATATGCAAACTATTTGAATGACAAAATAATGATACTACCAGATCATAACACATTAACTAAAATAGGAAACCATGGATCCATCTTGATATAAAGAATCAAATAAATTGAACATTTGATGAAGAGAATTATATTTACACAGCCACTGGTATTTCCCTAATGGAGAAATCTGACAGACACCACATTTATCTAATGACCAAAGTTA